TCATCAGCAGCAGCAGCATCGGCAGCGATACCACTGGCATGATTGTTACCACTGCCATCATGACCATGACACCATCAGCAGCATCGCTGTCACCGTCGTCATCATCAACCTCATCTGAGTATCAACATCATCCTCATCGTCGTCATCATCANNTCATCATCACCATCATCATCATATCAGAAGGGGTCTGATTAATTGCCAACAGTAACAACACCATTGCCTTCTGCCTGCGAACTGGTTGGCATCATCGTTCTCATCGCCACCAGCACCAGCGTCATCTTGAGTGACATGATGCACGGAAGAACAGTACGTGTGTTCCAATTTCAGCCGAGTAAGTCCGAACATACATAATACGTGCTCACAGGTTTGTACCGGCTTTTCAGCTGAGTCTGTTTATGATTATCATGAGGGTTGACACCTGCTTCCACCAGTGCGCGCTGTCGCTCTTGATGCTATTTGGTGGCGAATCAGTGACGCATGCTGTCCGAGCCCTGCGGAAACCCTGCAAAAGCCCCACGATTCGATTTTAGAAGCACAAACAAACAGACTCAATAGACTACTTTCCAAAACCCATTCTAGAAATCCCAGCAAAACCTTCTAGGTGATATCCTACAGCCTGAACCCGAAAACACCACCTGTATAGACTCATTGTAAAGCTCAGAGAAGCGATGAAGCCTTCCCTAAACCCTAAACCTAAAGAAGCCCCTCCTACACTTCGGCGCCTCGAACATTGCGGCCACAGAGCTGGGTTCGGCAATCTGGGATAGGAGCACCTGAGCGGTTGATTAGGGTTTAGGGTTTAGTTTTTTTCAAGGGGTTCATATAGAAGGTTTTAAAGGATTTTCTTCTGGTTCTTTCTGAAGGGTTCTGAGAGTTCTATAACATTCTCGAAGGGCTTTAACTCGATCGGGGGCTTGGAGAAAGCGCCATAAGTTTGGGGCTGGGTAGTCAGCGTTTTCGGTGTGGGGCTTTCGGAATGCAGGCGCTCTGTAGACTTGACTAAGGGACAATAGGAGGGACCCCTAGAAGGGACCCCTAATCCAAATACCCTATATAACCCTTATGTACCCCTTATATAGGCTCATAAAGCCCCTATATAACCCCAAGGGTCCCTTTAAGGGTCCCTCCTT